GTCCTCCCTGCTCTCCCTTCCCGCCTGCGAGTCCTTTGCTTGCCCCCGAATCGGCCGCCGCGCCTCCCTCCGGTCCCCACTCCCGCCCTGGCACGAAGCGGCGGCCGTGCAGGAGGGTTTGCCGCACCCGTGGGTTCTGCCTCGGCGCTCTCTGCCCCCGTCCTCATTCCTCCTCCGCGGGGCGCTGCGAAGCACATATTCGTAGACTTTTTGAAAGTATTAAACGTAACCCTATTTAGTTCGTGCAACCCAAGCTTACTCATGGCGCAGCGAGCCCTGGGTTCCGCGTCCCCCATCGGCCCCTGCCCGCCCTCATGGGCGCTTCTCCACCCGCACTCCGGTTAGCCGTGCTGGGCTCCGGGTGGGCCATCCTAGGCTTCTCCGTGCCTTTGCACGCGCTGTTCCTTTGTGGCGCGCCTTCCTCTACGCGAACCTTGCTGCTGGTTATTAAAGCATCTTGTTCTAGATCCTGCTGTAAAATCTGTCAGGAGACCCCAGGGGAATGTTTTCAAAGGAATATGTACAGTTTAACTTAGTCGTAGCTGTCATTTACAGAGCAGTCTGTGTGTGTACATCACATATGTCATCACTGATCCTCACAGCAGTTCTGCAGGGTAGTAATTTTACAGATGACAAGTCTGAGGCTCAGCATCTAAATAATTTACCAACTTCAGGCACCTGATGAAAGACTGTTGAAATTCAAACCCATTTCGGTCTAAATTCGCTGTCTGCTTTTTCTATTGTGCCACGTTATCTGCACCATATTAATTTCTGTAAGCCAGAATATATCAGAAAATGAATGTCATGAAGAGCAGTTGTTAATAGCGTAAGGTGTGGACTAAATAATGGTTCAGGAAATGACAGAAGCTAGATAGTAGGAAAGTATTTCAGACAGTCACATTTAGAGATTGCTAGTTTGAAGTTTAGAAATGTGTTATCTTTTTCTGTCAGAAGTACACAGAACATGGAACAGATGCTGGGGACACTGTGTCCCGGTTCCTGACTGTGCCTCCATCCAGCTCCTCTGAACTCTGTGTGCTGTGAGGTGTTTTCCTGGAGCTTCTGTCTTCAGAAGAGGTTCAGTTTAAGTGGCAGCGATTGAGAGAATGAAAATGGGAGTGCTTTTCAGAGGCGGTGCATTCTAGATTTCGAGGAGGGAGGGCAGGCAGGCACTGTTGCACTAGAAATACCAATGCCCAGTGCTTTGTTTTGAAATCAGCAGACGGTGAAGGAAGTAAGGTTATAAACTCCAGTGCCAGATCCAGATTTATACCAGCTCAGTCAGGTAATAACTATAAGAACCTGGGCAAGTAATTTAATTCTGATGATCTTCAGTATCCTTGTGATACCTACAGCTTAGAGAGGTGAGGATTAAATGAGAAGAAACTGGGCCTCAGAAACGTTAACCCATTTACTCGGCACAGCAAAAACGTGGAAGAGTGCGGACTTGAACCCGCGTCTTAGGGTTCCAGGCCCGTCTCAGTACCGCCTTCACTGTGTGCTGATGGCCGTTTGCATATAGCAGCTGGAAACACCCAGGTTAGGGTCACTTGCCTGTCTCGAGTGAGTTCCTTGTTTGTACAAATGGTCCAAAATGCTGGTCAGTGGTAAGGAGCACTGTTCCCTACGAGACGTTTCCAGGCCACCGAGTAGGCATGGCGTTGTAATGGAATGAGTAGGGCCCATACTCGTCATCTGCGTGCTGTTGGGGTACTGTTAACTGTCTGGTCATGATTTCAAAGTCCATCTTTTACTTGTTTGTGATAATATATATTTTATTTTATAGCATATCAGAGTTATCCCTAGATTCAACCCTTCATGCCATCAACCTTCATTGCAATAACATCTCGAAGATCGAAGCCATTGGTCACGTTTGGAATTTACAACATTTAGATCTGTCATCTAATCAAATAAGTCAAATCGAAGGGCTTAGCACACTCACAAAACTATGCACTTTAAATTTGTCCTGCAATTTGATCACAAGAGTAGAAGGTTTGTAAGTGATTTTCGTGTAATACTTGGACAAGGAAGATGATTTAAGTCCATCTTTCTTCTTCCCGAAAGAATGGAATAAATAGTATAAACTTTTGAAAACTGACCTAAAATTTATCATGTAAAATTTTTTCTAGAAAAGTTATCAGTCTTTTTAAAGTATTTTGCAAAATGCCAATAAAATTGATTTTACAGTTACCAGACTGTAGATTTGCTTCCAAACAGTCTGAATTAGTAGTATAATACTATATGACCAATTAATTGTTTATTCGAATCCTATTAAAGCTTTATTTTATTTTATCTTATTTTATTTTAGGACTCGACGCACTAATTAATTTGACTAGACTGAATTTATCTTATAACCACATAAACGATCTTAGTGGTAAGTAGATGTGCTTAATTCTTCTGTAATGCTGAATATTTTCCACGTGTGATGAGTTAGACTGAGCTCAACATGTTGAAAAACAGTTTTAATTTTTTAAAGCTTTTTGGAAGATGCAAAAGGGTTAGAATTGAGTGTTAACTGTAGGTCTGTCACTGCCGGATGCTGTTGAGCAAAGTATATGCTTTTGTGGATGAAGTTTATCTGAAAAATGTGTGTCTTGGATAAGATAGATCATTTATTTACTCAAGTATTTACTGAAGATCGCTGTATCAAACATTTCTATAGTTATGACAAGGAACAACAAACAGGTAAGGTTCATGTTGTCACAGGGCTTACATTGTCGGGGCAGGGAACGGATGAGATCAGGTCAACCTCCAAAAAATAAGCAAAGATTTGAGCAGACACTGCCCGAGAACATACCCAGATGGCAAACAAACACATGAAAAAGAGACGTCTGTCATGCTTAGTGACTAAGCCAATGCCCAGGAAAAACCACAGAGAGACCTACATCACACCTGCTGGAACAGACAGCTTTAGAGACTACAGCACACAGTGCAGGTGAGGCTGTGGAGCAGGTAGGGCTTGCAGACATTGCTGGTAGAATGCAAAATGGTACACCTGCTGCGGACATAGCTCTTCGCTGCTGGTCTCTTGAACGCTGCTCCGTCGCCTCTCAAAACAGAATTATAAAAACCTTTATTACGCTGTTGGAGAAATTGCCGTGGCATCAAAAAGGATTTTTTCATTTTGCAGGTTTTATACCCCTTCACGGCATCAGACATAAGCTTCGGTATGTCGACCTGCACAGCAACTGCATAGACAGCATCCATCACCTGCTCCAGTGCGTGGTGGGCCTGCACTTCCTAACCAACCTTATTTTGGAGAAGGATGGAGAGGACAATCCCGTCTGTCGGGTACCAGGTAGGAACAGTTAGTGCTTTTTGTAACAGTTCATGTTTAGATTTTTATTTCCTTTGACTGGCTGGCGTTTATTTGTCTTAAACTTTATAACTTTTTATTATGTATCTGAAAAAAACGTAATTGCAAATTATTTTATTAGACAAACTGAATTGTTAAAAGAACACAGAGTGAACAGATAAACAATTCTCTTTACACAGTTTTACATTTGATAAGTGAATGCCTCAACATTAAATTACGTCGTGATATTCTCATAGCATAACACTATGCAGCCACGATGAAAGAACAGAATCTCTTAGCTGCGTGATCTCTAAGATACACTGTTAAGAGAAGAAAAGCAATCAGATTGCAAAACCGTTTCATATAACAGGCTACCACTTCTGTGCAAAGGGCAACGTGTGTGTGTGTTTGCTGGGTATACACACGCAACAGCAAGAATGCCCAAAACGGGTAATAATGGCTACCTCCAGTGCCAGCTAGCCGGGGATCAGGAAATGCACTGGGGGCAGAAAGGGAGCCGGCCATTAGGAAATGTTAGCGAAACTGTTCACTGTGCACTCTTCAAATTTACAGCACGTGCCTGTATTGTTATTTTTTAATAAATGAATTTTTCAAGAAAACTTAATACGATACATAGGAGATGCTGCTGACATGTCACTGGACCTAGTCCAGCATCATCGAGGTTGGCAGGGCCAAGGCCGACCAGCCCGCCCTCCCTGGAACCCACTCCGTGAGCTGACGGCTCGCGCGGCGGCGAGGCACAGTGGGCCGAGCATGCTGCCCGCTGCAGACCTGCGCGGGCTCCTCACGGCCCCGAGACGGCTCGCCCCAAGTGGAGACCCGTCCGTCCAGCCGCTCAGCCCGCGGAGCCCCGTGGGCCTGACGGTGAGAGTCGCCCTCAGAGTCAGCACAGATTTCAGTCTTCCGGGCTAATAACCCTTTTCTTGGAAGAAGATCTTGTTTCTAAAACAGCTTAATGTTTTCTCTACGATCCCACAGTTGGATTTTTTTCCTGACAATCCTGTCTCGAGAGCCTCTGCTTCCTGCCGTCTGGTCCTTTGTCCTCCACTTTTCCCCAGCGCAGTCCCCCTCCGCCCAGAGCTGGAGGGCCGCTTACTACCAAAATGACGCTTCTCTCCTCGACATTTCCAATGTTAATTTGCCAGACCTCCTTTCTGTTGGAGTTCTTCATTGGTCTTTTTATTTCTAACTACTTGGTCTTAAAACTAAAGTTAAACAAAAAATGTTTCAAGCCTAAATACCAAATTAACGTTAACTTGCCAGATTTGTCATATTTAATGGCACTTACGGAAAATAAAGACATCCTTGAACGCTCGGTGGGCTGCCTGTCAAAATCGCAGTCTCCTGTGATTTAGGGAAATGGGGATCTCAGCAGCAGAATGCTCTGGCCCCCACCCGTCGCGTGGCACGTGACGATGGCGTGTCAGGCTTCCTGGCCAGAGTGCACACACGTTTACTCTAAAGCACTTTCACGAAAGCTGCATCCCACGGCGATGACTTTAAGTAGCTGGCCTTCCTCAGGAGGGTTTGGAGTGGAGCTTGCGCTCGTCTTCTAGTTACCGACCACCTACTGGGAGAGGCCCGGTAGCTTTCGTGACATACCACTTAGCCGTGTTCCAGGACATTTGTCATTCAGGTGATATATCTGTTAGCCGATAAATTTAGTTTACGTAAGAAATAATTAACCTTATTTTTTTTTAAATGTGCATATTCATCTGAAATGATTTGTTTCCCAGGGTACAGAGCAGTTATGCTCCAGACTTTGCCACAGCTTCGAATCCTAGATTGCAAGAACATATTTGGTGAGCCAGTGAATCTGTCAGAAGTAAATTCATCGCGTCTACAGTGCTTTGAAGGCCTCTTGGATAATTTAGTTTCTTCTGATTCTCCCCTAAACATAAGTGAAGATGAGGTACAGTAATGTGTTTTTTCCTAGTCTGTTAAGTTTTTGCTTCGAATTTAATTAGTAAGTACATTGTAAGGATTTTGGTTTGTGTCTGTGTCACAGGTCATTGACAATATTCCAGTAGTGACACCACCCATCAGTGACATGGTACCCTTGGAACAGTTCGCCAACACACCAGCAGATAATGATTTGACGTCCTTTACATCTGTGTGTCCGTCTGCTCAGCAAGAGAAAGTTAATCATGAAACCGATTTTGAGAATGAGATGAAACTTCAGAAATTAGATGATCAATTTATACAGCTTCTAAATGAAGTAACTATTTTTTCCATTTTTCTAAGTAATTTGTTTGTTGAAGAAAAAGTAGTTAAGAAAATTTCAAGTAAAAATTGCACACAGACTGACCAACCAGAAACCACCGCATCTAACGCGCCGGCGGGCCGTGCGTGTGCGTCCGTCTTCCGGACGTCGGCTTCTGCTGCAGGAGCAGCGGCAGAGAAGGGAACCTGCCTGTCACTCATTTTCCTTGTTCTTCAGATCCGTATAGTGTGACTTCTTCCGTTGTGCTTCATACTCCTGCTTCGGGCCTCTCTGAGCGACTGAAATCCGTAAATGTGCGTCCTTACCCACCTGGGGACATTTGGGCATCATTTCTTCAAACGTGTTTCTGCCCCGTTCTCTCTCCTTTCTCTTCAGCTCCACTTGGACCTTCTGATCTTGCCCCGCAGTTCTCTGAGGCTCTGCGCATCTTACCGGCTTTTTCCTCTGTCGTCTACGCATCGAATCAATTCTACCCGATTGTCTTCGCGTTCACTTATTCTTTCTTTTATCATTCACTCTTCCGTTGAGCCCAGCCAATCAGTTTTTACTGCAGATGTGTTGTTCAGTTGTAAAATTTTTTTTTTTTAATAAGTTCTATTTTTCAGCTGAGTTTTCTTGTCTCTATTCACACTAAGCATATCTTTTTATGTCGTCGAGCACAGCTGCGATCGCTGTTTTGAAGTTCTGGCCTTTTTGCTTGAACACTCGGCCCCTCTCAGGTTGGTTCCCATGGACCCCCTTTTCTCTTGAGAGTTGGTCACGTCTTCCTGGCTCTTCCTGTCGTGAGCATTTTATATTTTATTCTGGACGTTGTGACTGTCGTGGAGACTCAAGGTGCTGTTATGGGCCTCCTGGGAGTGTTGACGTTTCTGTTGTAGCAAGCACTGAACTTGCTTTGACTTTCCCTGTCACTTTGTCCCTTGGGCAGCGCTCCATTCTTTTGTTCTTTACTGGGCTTCTTCATCTACCCTGTGCTGTCCTCTGATTCCTCGGGCCCAAAAGCCCAGGTTCTCTTCGTGAGTTCTGAGGCTCCCTGCACAGTGCTCAGTGTGATAGCTCTCAGGCTGGGACTGTAATTACCAGAACACCCATCTGGTTCTCTTCCCAGGTGTCAGCGCCCCTCTGCAACAAGCCTCCTTTTCTCTTGTTAGGCCCTCCAAATAGTGTTTGTCATTTTGTTTGTATTTTGTCCAGAGTTTATAATTGTTATCTTGAGAGAGTCAGCCACATAGGAGCTTAATTCCAAACATACCTGGTTTATAAACCCTTAATCTTGTACAAGTTACAGTACTTTGAGAAATTTCAAATTTTAATCTTATATACTGAATCGAACTTTTAACAAACTTTGTTCGTTTTTTTTATTCTAGACTTCTAGTTCTTTAATAGATACTGTTCCCGAGAAAGATCTCAGACCTAAAAGAGACACAGATGTGACTTCTGAAAGTGACTATGGACACAGAAAAGAGTGTAATAGAAAAATTCCTCGAAGATCAAAAATCCCATATTATTCCAAAACTATTCAGACTATTAAGCACCACAATAAGAACAGCAATCCCTTTATAAGGTACTTGTTTCCGTTTTGGAAGTTCAGATGAGGCACCAGACAAGCCAGCAGTGCTGGCTTCCTGCTCAGAGCTAGCTCGTGGTGGCGGTGTCCTCCTAACGTCAGCATGTGACTTCTCAGCCTTGGTCAGCGCAGTCAGCCAAGTGCATGCAGGAGGGGCCCTGTTGCTGTGACAGATTGTGAGTGTCTGAGCACGAGAATTAGAGACGCTGTGCATCTCTGGGTGATTTCCTGTGTTTTATTCTTTGCAGTGGTAACCGTAAAATGAAACAACCTATTTTTAAAGAATTATACGTACGGTCATCGTTAGCGAACTATGATGTGTCAGAAGAACCGGAAGAGCAGAAGACAGAACTAATTAAAGTGGACAACAGTAGCTCCGAAGACAACACCTACCGGGTAGGACAGACGAGATTAAGGAAAAAATGATTGCAAGAGTCTTAGTTTTTAAACACGTAGTGAGTTTCAGAAAAATAATGCATATTTTTAGGAACAAAAACTATTGTGTGTATTTTTATTGGAGTGACGAGATAGTTTATTTTTCCCTTCCTGGCTTCTAGATGTTTTGGAATGTTATAATTTTTGTACTTTTTAAAGGAATGGAAATTATACATTTATTTGAGATCAGATTTCTGTGAAATCATGTGTGACGTGCTTTTGGAGGAGGAAACAGGTCTAAATTTTCAAACTTACTTCCTAAAGCAGTGGCTCCTCACGTCTCAGACCCTTTCAGATGTGTAAGGGGGTCTGTGCCCTCAGAAGAGTAATCGTGACACGCACACACGCACGCACGCACGCCATGGACTGTCCTGAAACCGGTGTGGGCCCCTGGATTTCAGAGTAGGAGGCGTTGGAGAGTTTAAGAGTTCCTCACCATTTGCCATAACCGTCCCACGTCAGTAAGAATTTGTGATGCGCGTTGTTCGATGTGTGCGTTTTGTGACGCCCCGTGCGCTTCGTGGGGACGGGTTTCGATCGCAGTGTGCGCTGCTCTTCCAGGGCTGCGACTGCTTTTGAAACATTTCGCACTGGTGGTTTCCTCCTCGCATTCTCAAGCAGAGGCTTTCATCTTGAAGGTAGTGGCAATGGTCACTGACAGTCGTGGCAGCTAACCCTTACCGAGCAGTGGTCAGGTGCCCGCGCGGCGGCGTGCTCCGCGTCCGGCATTTCGTTTGCTTCTCACGTGGCCTTTGGCGTGAGAGACTGTCGTCCTCCCTGCTCTGAGTGAGAAGTCGGGGCAGCGAGAGGACATGTCCAAGGCCGCCTGACGCCATTGTCGTCTCGTAGGTACTAGTTGAACAGCTGGACCAGGAGAGAGAGAAGAGGTGGAAAGCCGAGCAGGCCGAAAAGAAGCTCATGGACTATGTCGACGAGCTGCACAAACAGGCGAACGAGAAGAACGACATCCAGTGCCTGGCCCTGCTCACCACGGACAGGTGAGGGGCCGGTCTCCTGGAGCTGCCGCCGCATGCGGGGTGTCGGCCTAGGAGGCCTCCTCCTGAACCGGCTGGCGTGGGGTCACAGTGCGTGCGGCTGTCGTTCAGCTTGAAGTGATCTCTTCTCAAGATGAGCTTGCTGCGTGAGCAGAGCTCCTGCTGCGTCGGCGTGGGCCGTCAGGCTGGGCACGGTCGGCCGGGTGCGCAGGGGGCCCGGGCTGTGCCTGAGCCAGGCCCCTGTTGCATAGTGAAGGTCACGTGGAGTGACACTTCGGCGATCTAGGTAGATCCTTCTTGCTCCTCACCATCAGTGTCAGGGATGGGGAGGCACGTCCTGTGTCTCAGCCATTTCTTAATCCAATGAGAGTTTGAAACATACTTCACATCTTCCTCTCGACTGTAACCTTTGATGTTGACTACAGTTTTTATCCTTTTTGATGGGTAATGTGCTTTAAAGCCACATTTGCTTTCTGCTTTAGGCTAAAGGACATTATTTTTAAAGAGAGAAGTTCCAAAGTACAGCTGGAAGTTATGGTTCACAAACTTCAAAGTGAAATTAAAAAGCTAACGATTGAGTTGATTAAAGCAAGAGATCAGCAGGAGGACCACATCAGACACCTGAGAACCCTGGAAAAGGCGTTGGAGAAAGTGGAGAGGCAGAAGGGGCAGCAGCAGGCGGCACAGGTACCCTCCGCTTTAACGGGTCAGTCACACGCGCGCACACACACACACACACACACACCACCCCCCACCCCCCCGCAGCTTCTGTCCTGAAACTGCGTCGTTACGCAGTAAATGCAAAAGGTGTTAGGCTCTGTGCAGAAATAGTTTCGTTGGTAACTAATGTGACCCATGGGATTCTTTCTGAGTGAAGGCCGCCAGCACCCACAGAGCAGCATAAGAATTGGGGGGACACCGAGGGCAATCAGCTTGTGTTCCGGAGAGGCCACCTCCAAAGGCCCCCAGGCGCCGGTGGCATCTCGTTTTCGTACTTTCTGGGTGGGACTCGCCCTCGAGTCTGTGATGCCGGTAGGCCGCCAGCGCTGCGGTTTCTCCGCCACAGTGTCGTGGTGACGTAAGGTCTGAAAGTGAACAGAGTCACTAGACTCTTCCGTAGAAGGCACGTTTCTCCGGGGAGCCGCGAGATGGTGGCCTGAACCCTGATTGTGTGTGTGTGCGCCCAGATGCGGCTCATCCAGGAGGTAGAGCTCAAAGCCGCCGCCGCCGACCGGGAGATCAGCCTGCTGCGGACGTCCCTTCACCAGGAAAAGGAGCAGGTGCAGCAGCTTCATGACCTGCTGTCGCTGAAGGAAGAGGAGCACAGGTAAGTGAGCACCACGTCAGGAGGCTGCTCCCCACACCCCTCCCCAGAAAAGCTGGCAGGCGCCTGGCAGGGCGGAGCCTGGTGGCTGTGGCTCTAGGGAGAGCACAGGCCCGTGGGCGCCTCCGCCTCGCCCGCAAAGCACCGGGAGCTCCCAGACAACAGGCGACCCCGCGGACGGGCGGGCTTGTAACGATGACGCCAGTTTGCATTTCCCCAAACCCGACGGAAATTGGTTGTGCGAGATACAGAAAACTGTTCCTAGATCTCCAGGTGACCGATAATCAGGATTCTTCATTCCTCTGAAGCGGGGGTCAGCACGGCTTTTTCTGCGAAGGACCGGGCTTCAGAATTTGAGGCTTCGCAGGCCGTGCCTGGCTGGGCCTTCGCAGCACCAGCGTGGCATAGATAGCACGCAAACCAGCAGGCGAGCCTGCGTCCCAACGAAGGGGTCTTCCCAGTAAAAGGCAGCGGCCAGACTGGCCTGTGAGTCCGCAGGGAGATCGACATGCAGGGCGGCATCTCCCCTGCCCGCCCTGCCCGTCCAGCGGGGTGATGGCCGTGGGCCAGTCGTGTTTGTTTCCAGACCTGTTGCGTTCGTGTCCTTACAGAATTAAAATCGTAATGTGTAAATTAAATTTTGATACTCCAGGGAAAGTTGTCATACATGTAGGCAGGACAGCTATAAAATCAGGGAAAATTAATCACAGAGCTCTAAAGTGTTATACTTCGTGCTCTTTATATGTTTTGTAATTTCTTGTACTAGTTTCAAGAAACCAAAACTGGAAATGATGGATTTCGTATCACGGGCTTGATTTATTCCAGAAAAGTAGTGGAGAGCTCTAAGGAATGCAGTCACACATGAAAGGCGGCCCTGTGTCAGATCGCCGCCTCATTCCACACGGTCACTGAGTCTTTTCTATGAACCAACCACCAGTACCAACTCCGACTGTGTGTGGGAGACTCAGCCAGAGTGGGAGGTGCAGTGAAGCAGAACTGCAGGTGGCCTGAGCCAGGTGACCCCCGAGCCACCCAGGGCTAAGCTGCGGCCTGCCCCTCTAGCCCCCGTCGGCCCCCCATCCACCCCCATCGTGCGGAGCAGTCAGGTCAAGCCCGTGTTTTTTTCTGTCCTGTCCCCAGCAGTGAGGCGCTCGCTTTAAATTAAAATTAGAGAATATAGAGTAGTTAATGATTATTTAAAGACCTTGAAGGTTTTTCTTTGTGGGTGAACAGAGTTCTGTGATTTTTATTTGCTTTTCACTCCAGGAAAGAACTTGAAACAAGGGAGTTTTTTAGTAATGCTGAGTTCCAGGAAGCCGTGGCCAAGGAAGTAGCTAAGGAGGAGGCGCGGCACGAGGAGGAGATAAAGGAGTACCAAGGGAAGGTGGAGGCGCTGACCCAGCAGTACCTGGACTTGGAGAACGAGTTCCGCTTCGCGCTCACCGTCGAAGCCAAAAGGTTTAGAGATGTAAGACGTAAGGGTGCGCATAGCTGTTTGTCGAAAACAGTCCGCGAGGTGGGGGACGGCAGAGACGTGCGTTTGACGGTTCTGGCTCTGTCTGCTCTGCACGGTGAGCTCCGGCAGGTCGTTTAAGCCTCGGAGCCGCACTTCCCTCAGGCGGTCGCGGCCGCCGTCCAGGGCTGCCGTCCAGGGCTGCTGTCCAGGGCCGCTGCAGAAGCTGAGCAGCCGGCGAGGCGGCGCCGGGGCGGGGGCTGGGAGTCCGGCCCAGTCCTGTCACCACGCAGTGTGCCGCGGGGACTGGCACCTTTGGCCCTCAGCCGGGTTTTGTAGTTTTATCGGAACACAGCCATGCTCGTGTTTACTCTTCTCGGGGGTTCCTTTTGTGTCACCACAGCAGAGTCGAGTGCTCGCAGCACAGACCACGCGGCCCGAGGCGGCGCCGGGGCGGGGGCTGGGAGTCCGGCCCAGTCCTGTCACCACGCAGTGTGCCGCGGGGACTGGCACCTTTGGCCCTCAGCCGGGTTTTGTAGTTTTATCGGAACACAGCCACGCTCGTGTTTACTCTTCTCGGGGGTTCCTTTTGTGTCACCACAGCAGAGTCGAGTGCTCGCAGCACAGACCACGCGGCCTGGCCTGCAGAGCCATTACCCGTGCATTTTATGCTTTGGCTAAACTCTGATTCTAAAAATGAGACGTGAGCTGTTTCCAGAAATGCTTTCTACGTTTTTAGAGAAGTGCTATTTATAATGCAATTTTGAAATGTAGGTTAAAGACGGTTTTGAAAACGTTGCCACCGAGTTAGCAAAGAGCAAGTACGCTCTTGTTTGGGCTCAGCGGAAAGAAAATGAGTCTTCCTCTCTGATCAAAGACCTCACCTGCATAGTGAAGGAACAGAAAACAAAACTCGCCGAAGTTTCCAAACTGAAACAGGAAACCACAGCAAATTTACAGGTGAGACATCGTGACAAAGTGCATCGTCATGATTTTAGGAAATAGCATTTGAATTCCTGATACTAATTTTATGGTAATGGGGGTTTTTATAGATATGTCTACCCATTGTGATTTTTCAATTAATTTCTTTATTGCTGTTGTGTCCATTTTAAGCATGAGTGATATTTTGCCCAAGGGAACCTACTTCCCACAGGTGAGCTTCAGATGCCGGTGTAGATGCTTGGTAAGGAGTTGTGAGTGTCCCAGGTGCAGACATTCAGAGTGTTTAAGGAGTGGCCTCGCACAGTCTGACTTTTCATTTCCTGGCCCACGTGTATCTTTAGTTAGTAAAATTAAAACTTTTTCTGATGTGAGACTGAGAAACATTTACTTTGTATTTGTTTAACACTTTTCTCATAAAATGAAGAAGTAGAAAATAAAGCACTTTAATAATTATTTCACATTTTTTCAATGTTTTTGGGGAGTAAACAGAATCAAATCAACACTCTTGAAATTTTGATCGAAGATGACAAGCAGAAGAGCATCCAGATAGAGCTGCTCAAGCATGAAAAGGTCCAGCTGATTTCGGAGCTAGCAGCCAAGGAGTCGCTAATCTACGGTTTAAGGACAGAAAGAAAAGTGTGGGGCCACGAGCTGGCACAACAAGGTAAAATCCTCACATTCTCAACGGGAAAGTTCCCGTTTTTCTAAATGTTGGAGAGAAAGGGAAGGGCTCAGCCCTCGGGCCACCCCGAGACACGGTGACACCGCGCGAGCCGGCAGGAGGGAGCCGTCCCCGCATCAGCCGCGCAGCTGTGGCTCCGCCGCTTCCGCCGCCGTCTCCTCCCTGTGCGACCCGGTTCCCTTCTGAAACGCGCTTTCACGGCGCTGCAGCCAAACAGGGTGTTGAGCACAGTTCCGTCCTGTGCAGCGAGCGGCGCCCCGGCCTTGCCGGCCGATGCTGGCAGCTCCCCTCGCTGCCTGTGCAGAAACGCGGAGGGAGAGAGCTCCGTCTCGTTCCGGTCACCGTTCCGGTCACCGCGAAGCAAGAGACGAACTCCGATCTGTGGCCGCGACAGACGCTTTCCGGTCGCGAGCAGCGGGCTGTGGTCTCGTGCGGCGCGGCCGCGGTCCGTACGGTTTCGCTGGGTGCCCGGGCCTGCCCGGCGGCGCAGCCCGTGCCTGCGTTGCTGGCTCCTGGTCTGTGGTGTCAGTGTCCAGACAGCCGTGGCGTTCGGAAGGCCTGTTCTCGTCCCCTCTCCTCTCACGTGGCGCCATTACGCATTTCATTTCTTCAGTCTCTGTCTCTGTGTTTACTATATTGTTAAATGAGATCATCTTCAAGTACAAATCCTCCGTGGTCTTTCAAAGTTCGTTACTGGTGATTTTTGTTTCTTAGGATCCTGTCTGGCTCAAAATCGTGGGAAACTAGAGGCTCAAATTGAAAGTTTATGCAGAGAGAACGAATGTCTGCGGAAGACGAATGAGCGTGACAGTGACACGTTAAGGATTAAGTGCAAAATCATAGAAGACCAAACTGAGACCATCACGAAGTTAAAAGTCGTAAGTGCGACATTTTATTTTGGGAAAAGGACATGTAGCAGGTTTAAAAATCTGGATGGAAGCATCCAATAAACATTTGTCACGATGGTTCTCAACTGCCATGGAATTTGGGACAGGTTGTCATGGGCTTTTACGATAGTCACCCCTTCGCCTTTAACATTTCGTTTATTATCTTGAAATTACTTTTACTTGAATATTTTATGGGGCACATTATTATGACCCTTTGGAATAACTGGAAATAGTGTTGATGAAGGGTTAAGAATCGCAAGAAAGTTAACATTTTCTATGTTAAAATACCCCTCTTTAAGCACCGTATCTCCCAATGTTACTAAATCACTTCTCAAAATGATGCAAAACCTACTCTACTATGCCTGAAGGTTTGTGAGTGGATTGTAAGAGACGCATTGCACGCTCATTCCCAGGGGACACCATTTTGACCCTCTTCTTCAGTTCAGCATGTCTCAGAGGGAACTCACAGGGTCACTTGTTTCAAAGCATATTACCTAAAAATTCTCCAGAGAGATTTTCTGACAATTGAACACTGAATCAAATTTAAATTTCAAAATTTTCCTATAGGGATTATCTCTTAAAAAAAAAAAGGTTAAGAAGCTTCTAAATGTGATTGTCACGCATAAAGTTAGGAACGCATTCTTTAGAGGAATTGTAACTACTAAGGTTTGATTTTTTTTTTTCTTTAGTCACTTTTAAGAAACTTTGAGAGCTTAACTTCGTCAGGTTCGGAAGATAAGCAGGTCCCACCCGCTGCTGCGTCTGTAGCCGGGTTTGGGCTGGAGCGCTTGAGCTCCGTGACCCGGCTCAATGATGCCGGTGGTGACTCCATTGAAAATTTGGTTTCATCGTATCCAAAATTTCAAACATATCATACATGCCACACAGCATTAAAAATTAGTGAAAATTTTTAGCAGTAAACCTTTTTTCTTCTTTTAAAAATCTAGTCAAGCTCATTTTCTTTTGAGTTAAGGTAAAAATGAAACAGACTAGTTATCTGCATTTAAATTTCAGAAGGCAGAGCAGGTGGTCCATTAGTACAATGCACTGTGTGTGGCATAGCTCCTTGCACAGTGAGACTACTGCCTTGTCAATCTGAGCAGAGTCGGGGGGAAATGACCATTAATGAATGACATGATGGAGCCAAAAATCGGATTTTAGTTTTAGATTTTTGCTAAAAATAATTTTTAGGTTTTCAACGCAGCATTGTCTTCCCACAATTTAATGTGTTAAGGAGCATCGTGTCGGCCGTGAAGACACGAGCATTAATGGTGCTTTCCTGCCAACCACGTAAAACACAACGGTGGCTAGACAGAGCCTCCAGTGGTGAATTCCACACAGCTGATAGCTTAAGGAGATAACGACGCTTTAATCTACAAAATTTGGAATTTAATGTCTTCGGTTAAGTAGATTCTATGGTTAGCTTCTGACTGTGGAATTCAGAAACAAATTTTTTGAAAATCTCTTTTCCTCCCCGCGTATTATTTTGACTTTTCAGTACGTGTGGGTCACAAGACTCCGAAGCTACAGTGTTGTTCTTTTTATTAATAGGGTTCTTTCATAAGATTCTCTTACAGCTTTTGTGGATTCCTGATAATATGAGTCAAGTATTTCAGAGAGACCTACAAATAAATAATTTATGACTTTTATGCAAATGTCGGTCAAGATTAAAAGACTGTCTTTGCTGAGCATTTTTAGATCTAAACACACTGAGGAATTGAACCACATCCTGTGTAATACTCAAGAATCCGAACTTAAGTTAGATTTCTCTAGTATTTGCCTCCATCTTCTTCCCAAAAGGAAAAAAGCACGGGGACGAACCCGGGCACAAACAAAGACCGCCACCTCCCTCTTTCCTGACCTGCAGCCTGATGCCGGTGTGCACGGGGCTGTCCCAGACGTCCCCACGGCGCCCGAGAGCACACCGGCCAGCACACCGGCCGGGCGTGCCGTGGGATGAGCCAGCCATGCGAGGCCGCGAACCTGCAGGCGTTCGCAGCGCCACCGGGGGCCTCGATCTCTGGTGCGTAGGACACAAATGTCGGACAGTCAGGCGCAGCCCAGAAGACAGGGAAAGGAAGTTCGGGGGCTGGAAAGCCTGTTTGCACGTGACCTTTTAACAGATGAAAACCATACTGTAAAGTATTTTCTCGCTCTGATGCAGAAACCACTTGTGCCTACCACAGTAGAGATAGTTCGATTTCTGCCATTATATCCGCAGGCAGCATCGGTCTCTCAGCCCCTTAGAGTTTGGTTTGTCATGAAAACATCGATCCTTCTCAGAGCAAAGTCACTGTGTTGCTCTCAGCCCCTTAGAGTTGGTTTGTTTTGTCATGAAAACATCGATCCTTCTCAGAGCAAAGTTAGGTTATTGGAAATTTGCATCGTGCTGCTGTCTTCCTTCCCTCCGACTCCCTCTGTGCGACTAACAATTACTAACTCACTGACGTGACGTGTAAGTGGGACGGTTTTTTTCTTACTAGCACTTAACGTAGTAGAGACGTTTCTATGGGCTGCAATAAACAACGTCCTGTAAATCCGTTCTAAGACGCTCATTGAACATGTGATTTTTAATTTGTAGTTTTTATAATACTTTTAAACTATAATTAGGAAATGAGGCATTTAGGATTAATAAACTACTGATGATTTTTTCAAAGTGTTTACAGGAAAGAGAGGAACAAATCAAAACGTTACAGGAAAAGATCACCGAAATTCAGAAGTGCACTCAAGAACAGCTTGAAGAAAAGTCTTCGCAACTGGACGACATCATCGAGAAACTGGAAAGACACAACGAGAGAAAAGAAAAGCTGAAACAGCAGTTGCGAGCGAAGGAGCTGGAACTCGAAGAGATTAGAGAAGCCTACAGGTACCGCGCGGCCCTTCGCGTCGAGAAGTGAAACGCGGCTGCCTCTTGTGGTGCGCTTCTGAGACCATGCCTTCTCGTGCTAGTGCCCTGAACCAGAAGTGGCGCGATAAGGGGGAGCTTCTGAGTAACCTCGAGATGCAAGTGAAGGAAGCGAAAGAAAAATTCGACAACAAGGAACGGACACTGAAGGCGGAAAGGGACAAAAGCATCGAACTACAGAAGTAAGCACGAGGCTGCGGCACGCGGGCGTCTGGAGGGGCCGGGCCTGGGCGGTGGGGTGTGGAGGGGGCAGGGGGAGGCTGGAAACGTGTCGGGCGTCGTCATTCGCCAGGTGTTTGCTTTCTATTCCTTCATTCAGTCCACAAAATGAAGACCGTGGTTCCGCCGTCGGCGTTTGACGGGTTCCGCGTTGTGCGTATTTACGTATGAGCGCAGCGCCTGACAGCAGGTGCTGCGTGACGCTCGCTCATCGCCGTGCTTACCGAAGCGGCTGCTGGTATTGGGGCTGCTGCCTGTGACTTAAGGAGGGACACGGGCCCCCGGAGACACAGCCGACCTGACACGCTGACGGCAAGAGCCGATTTTAAAGAAAGGGAAGAAAATGTGTTAACGTAAAGGAAATGGCGTTTTGCCTCTAAGAAACTTCTAGCACTAAAATTTTGCAGATACTGTTAAATGTGTTTATTAACGTAGGGTTTTTATCTGTTAAGCATTAACATGGAGAAGTCAGACCTACCTGTTCATAAACAAGTTACTGTCACACTTCACCTACTCGGAGAAAAAGATGCTGACAGCAGTCAGCTGTGGAGGTGCTTGTAAGACAAACCTTAGGCTCAGAATAAATGGAATCAGAGTACTTGAACTTTCAGAGGGCGAAAACGTACCAAACTTCCGTGGACGGCATCCCCCTGTCCGACGAGACTCGAGACTGCTGGCTGATGGACCCGCCTGCGTCCAGTCACCCCACACAGCCTTTCGCTGCTTCATGGCGTTATGCCGCCACTGAAGTGTGAATGTGAGAACTGCCATCTAAACCTAAAAGACCCCTGAGTTTTATGCACATAGTCACATGGTTTTGTTCTCTTTTTTTTAAGGGATACGCTAGAGAAGCTTCATAGTATGGACGATGCCTTTAAAAAACAAGTCGACGCAATTGTCGAAGCTCACCAAGCTGAAATCATAAAAATGGCAAGTGAAAAGCAGAAATATATCGATTCTGCAAACCTAAAGGTACTGTAAGTAAAATGTATTTATCAGCACTGAATTGTTACAGCTAAATAAATTGAAAATTATTACTATAAAAGGCAGCATGATTTAATGGCCAGGTAGATACGAAGACGTTGCCGAGGCGGCCGTGAAGCCAGGCCAGACGGCGGTGGTGCTCAGGTTGCTAGCAGGATGTAATTCTGCCAAACGCAGAATTGTAACTTCGAGGCCAGTGTGCGCCCGCGCCGCCACCTCCGGATCAGCATTCCCGTCTCGGCCGCAAGCCCGTCGGCTGCACACAGGCAGGGCGCGCATGTGAACACGGTCAGCGCGGTCAACACTGCCGCGGAGCAGTTCCCAGGGCGCGGTGCTTTATTATAATTCGGGTTCAGGGCTATCGAGTGTATTTTAACATCACTGACAGAGGAATGAGTGTAGAGCGATGCCGAGTGGGGGGCAGAACTCAGAATCACCCGTGCAGCTTTCTAACAGTACACGTGCATGCAGCCCCCTGAAGTTTCCATTCAGAGTTTGGGGTCAGAGCAGATATTTTGAAAACTCAGCAAGTGGTTAAGTTTTCAGTCGTGCGCCATTCTGAGTGTGGGGGAACCCCTCGCACCCCGTCCTGCCCCGGACGCCAGTCACCCTCCGTCCAGCGTCTCCACACTCCGTGCTCCCCGTCTGGTAGTCACTGTCCCCGTGGTCAGAGGGACTGTCTCGGTCTCACAGGCTTTGTGTTTAAGTAACGTTGATTTGAGTGCTGGCCCCAAAGCGCAAGAATAGAGATGCTGGCAGAGAGCCGGACGGCGCCCCTCTAAGTGCACAGGTGAGCGTTCTGGACTGAATAAAGGAGACCACGCGCTGAGGCCGCCGAGGTCTGCGGTCAGAGCGAATCCGCTGCCGTGAAATCGGGAAGGAGGAGAAAGGTTCGTGCTGGTTTTGCTGTCGCACCTCAGGCTGCGAAGGTCACGGCCACAGTGCGTGACACGTGCTTGGTGAAGATGGAAAAGGCGTTAAGTTTGTGGGCAGAAGACACGAACAGAAAACACGTTTTGACTGACGGCAGCGCGTTGCAGCGGAAAGCATCAGGCCTGTGCCAGGGCTGCAGCGAGGGACCCGCCCCCCCGAGACCAGCGACACCAAGCCACGCGCTGCCCGTGAGGGCCGCGCAGACTCGGGAGTAGGTTTGGCGTTGTTATATCGTCCCTCGTCATGACAAGAGCGAGAAGGGTGAGCACAGCACAGTGAGACGAGAAGGAGCGAGAGGCCGCGCGCCGAGCTGCCAGCGTGGTCGTCCGGCGCGCCGTGGGCGGCCTCTGCCGAACTCGCAGGCGTCACCATGGGGAGCTGCGCACAGGAAAAGGCGTAACGTGCAGGGTTCGCTGCTGTCTGCGGTTTCAGGGGACCGCGTCCCCCGCGGAGAAGGGGGGCCGCCTGCGCCCTGCAAGACGGGTCAGAGCAGCAGCCGGGAGCGAGTTCAGCGGCAGAAGGGAACCAGCGCTCCTCGCCCCGACTGCCACAGGCCTGTGACCACGCGACACCGCCTTCAGGAGGCCACCTGCCCTGGAGGGCGGCGGGCTGGGGCTGGGGCTGGGGCTGGGCAGCAGTCACAGTGGAGGAGGAAGCGTGACTCGTCCCAATTCAGCTCTTTGTTTCAAGTCCACAGAGGTTTCAGACGTTTTATCTAAAATCTCCCGCGTGTTCTCCAGGCCCCGCGGGGACCACTAACTAAAGTGTGAAGTTGGGCCCTGAGCTGGAAGGACGTCCTGGGTTCCATGGCGGACCTGCTGCCAGTCCAGTGTGACATCGCAGGGACATGTCTGTCGGGAGCGAGAGAAATGGCACCAGAGCTTAAACGTGATAACAAGGGAAGAAATCGCGAGGCCTCGTGTAGCGATGGTCATTTAAATCAGGAGAGAGATCAGCCTTCTGAGAGAGAGTCTAGTCTGTCCTAGAGAGTAGGCTGAGGGGAGTGAGCAGAAAGGGACGGTCAGATTGCTGGTGCCGTCGGGACTGTCGCGTCACCGGACAGAGGGTGTCAAGCAGGAGGTGACAGTATCAGACACAGAGACTCCGAGGAGGACGGAGGACTGAGGATACGGTGGTCGCTCAGGAAGGCAGAGGCGGTCGTCCCTAGCCAGCACCGCGACCTGAGAATGCAGTAGGGTCCCCAGGAGGGGATCGGGGGCGGGGGGAGGCTGCTGCAGGCTGGAGGGTCTGGAAGGGACCGTGTCGAAGGTGACCGTGGCGGCACAGGGCAGTGGGAGGGTGGAGTCAGAGGCTGGGCTTCTGTCCAGATGTGCCGCTGAGAAGCTGCACAACCTCGAACAAATTTTCTAAGCTCTAAAGCAGTGTCAGGAAATCGCCGTGTGTTTATCACAGGAACCTGTGGGGAGAGGTAACGCGCGTAAGTTCTCTGTATGCTGCGTGGCCATCATTTCCCCCGATAGTATCTGAACTAGTTACATTTCAGTAACCTCATGGCTTTAAATAAATGTCACAGATTGCAAAATGCATAAGAAAAAGGACTTTTTTCAGAATGCATTTTTTAAATTTAAGAAATTTTTATTTAGGTTCATCAGGTTGAAGAAGAAATGCGTGAACTTCTGCAAGAAACATGCAAGAACAAAAAAGCAATGGAAGCGAAAATCAAGCGACTTGCTTTTGCTCTGAATGAAATTCAGCGAGATTGTGATAGTTCTGAGACAGGACTTAATTGAAATGGACCGGCCGACATTGTAAAAATGATTAAATATTGTAACAGTAGTAACTGCTGTGACTTGGAAATGTCTCTTTCTACACATTTCATTCTGATTCTATTTTAAAAGACTTTTGATAAAGTATTTAATTGTATATGTAGGTTTTTATAATAAATTGTTGATAATTATGTATATTAGAAAAACCTATCAAAATAACTAGACTTAAGACATTTTTTCTTGTTTCTGTGCTGTGCATTGTTTGGGAGTTAAACATTTGCCAATGAATGTAAATGAAAATTAAGGTCATCATTCGACTATATTAGGAAAGTACTTGACTGATTGTTGTTGCTTATTGTGTTAATGAAGAACTAATTATATTTATTGGTTGTCCTTTAGTTGATGTAGTGCCATTCTTTTTAAATGCTCATATGTTCAAAAGTATAGCCAAAAAAGCATTTGAAATCCCTATGAGATCTGGCACCCTTAGACAGCCTCTGAGGCTGTCTCCACGTCACTCATCATGACCCCTGTTGATAGTGCGTTTGGCTTTTCATCAAAGATCACATTTCAGGTTTTACAGACATTATTTGTTTCTCAGGAGGAAAACTATTCCCCTCTTACTTCCTCATTTTCCCCTTTAATCACTATATATGAAGAGAGGTCTTGCAACTAGAAGTGATTTCATTTCACATCAGGACATTTATTACTGTTTCACTTTATCGTCATCTCTTATGTTCCTACGTGTGCAGAACAAAAACCTGAAAACTATTCTTAATGTTTCTAAAAGAATATAATACCATGTATTTGACTCGTAGCCAGTGAGCTAAGGTGTAAAAATTAAATGGAATCGGGGGGAAAAATGTAAATGCTTCTAAAAGAGAAGGCCATATTTCATTGTCAGCAAGCTTCATTCTGAACTCTGCGAGACAGCACTGAGCATACCAGCACATGTAATGAGAGTCAGGGGGGAGGGGGAGGGCATATATAATTTGGGAAAATAATAGCTGGAAACTTACTAAATTTGACCCCCCAAAAAAAGATCCACCTACAGATCCAAGAACTTTGGTAAAATCTAGGATAAACAAAGAGAACTACACCTAGATATTTTACAGTCAAACTTGGGAAAATCTTGAAAGCAATAAGAAAATGGTTTATCTCATATAGAAGAGCAATATAATTTATAGTTCACTTACCAGAAACCGTGAGGCCAGAAGGCAGAGGATGACATATTTGAAGTATGGGAAGAACAGTATCTGTCAGTCAAGGATTCCATATCCAGCAAAACTATCCTGCAAAATAAAGGCATTCCCAGACAAAGTTTATTGCTGGCCTCTTACCTGAAAAGAGTTAAAAGACAGCCCTAGAGGCTGAAAGGAAATGGTATCAGTAACTCAAATCCACTGGAAGAAATAATGGAAACAACAAACGGTTGATTTTTATGAGGAACCATATAAATGTATATTCTATTAGACATAAAGCAATTACACTTGTTGAATTTATATACGATATGTGCGACAAAAATTGTATGAAGTTGGGGCAGGGAAATATGATATCGTAGCTTTACCAAATTAATATTAATCCAAAGACTGGTAAATTAAAATGTGTATTATAATCTGTAGAACAGCCAGTAAGAAAATAACTCAAAGTTATAGTTCAGAAAAGAGTAGGTTCCACGTGGCAGCATAAAAGCACCAAAACGGACAAGTATTTTAAAACACCCGGTTAAGGTCTGAAAATTGTCCTAAGCGCATAGAGTGAATGAAACATTCAAGGCAATGTGCTAGAAGCGGGTGGCACCGAGCCATCTCCCCTCGCCTTCGGCTCAGCGGGATGGAAGTCCCAGTGGGCGGCAGGGTGGGTGGGCTGTCAGCCTTTCTCAGCTGTGTCGCAGGGGCAAGGTTAAACCTTGAGCTCCACTCGCCAAGAAGATTCCAATTAGTAAAACCGGGAACGAAAGCAAGGACATGATGGGGCTAAGGAGGAGACTCCAGGAGATGATAACTGTTTATGGCCTCAGTGGTGATGAACTTGAGGGGCGTATACTTATTCCCACTCGTCGAGTCGTATAAGTATGTACATCTTTTACATGTGAATTATACCTCAAGAAAATAGTTTTTAAAAAAATCCTTTGGCATTAGCATCAAGGACACATTCTCGGGTTTAATTTGACAAAAGAAGTGCTAATGACGAGCGCAAAAGGATAAGAGAAAACAAAAAGACCCAGTGTTCGCGGACCCATGGAGACGGCGACTCTCCCCAACTTCTGTGCAGCTCGAGCGCCGTGGCCGGGACGGCCCGGCCGGGAAGAGCCTCCGGTCGCCGATCCAAGGGACCTGAAGTGGCCAGCGCAGCGCG